TTCAATTATTATTACCTTGTTTTTATGTTTGTTTGAAAATTGATTTTCTTTTTCTACCTTTTCGGAGATTCTTTGTTTCTTTCTTTTTGTTTGAACTTGACTTTTGCATTAATCATTTCATTAAAATGAATGATGATTAGTCCAGAATATAAATTATAAGAAAAAATTGTAGAAAGATTCTTACCTAAAATATTGATCTATTTTTCTGAATGTATCATGGGCAAAAAAATGAATTTCAGATTTCACCAAAATGTAAAATAAACAGGATTACAGAATACACTTGACCTTTTTTTCACTCTTGCCATCATTTCAATTTTGTTTTGACGTTTGGTTGAATATTCTTCATCATCGTGAACGACCACAATTCTGTTGGATGTCAATCGATTATTAATTGATTTGTAAAGAAAACATTTACATCGTCAAAATGAAAAAATATAACAATTTTGTTTTCATTTTTTGCCCTAATTATCTTCATCATCATCGTTGACAGTGTCAAGTCAGTTGATTCATTTGATTAAGTTGAATTTACCAAAGAAAAAAAAAATGTCATAACAACCAAGATTCATTAATAAGAAACTATGACAGTTGTTCAATATGTGGTATGATGTTCCTGATTCATGTTTTATTTTTGGATTTTTTTCCACCAAACAACAGAATCTAAATCAGAATGGTAATTTCAGTGTTTTTTTTTCATCTCCAAACATAAAAACCGATTGATTAGATAATCAGCATGATTAATTAATCGATCAAACCGCAAAAAAATGAATGAATTTTTTTCGATTTTTGATTTTTCTTTGTTTCATTTTTCACTTCATAAAGATAACAATCACACAAACACACATGTACGAACTCCCTCATTTTTTTTATTATTTTCAACCAACTTTATTTGTTCACTATATCGTTTTGTCTACGTGTGTTTCTGTTTTTCTGGTTGAATCGATCCAAAAATTCGTTACGTTCTGTTTTCTCAAATCATTCTGTTCGATTCGATTCTTATGATCAAAAACAGAAATATTGTTTTAAATTTTCCAAAATTCATTATTAAAATTAACTAATAATAAAATACATATTCATAATGTAAATAAATAAAACAAACAAACAAATGAATTTGTGAATAAATAAATAAATTTTTAGCTAATGAAATTACATAATTTCTTTGTTTTTATAATTTGATTCGATGAAAAAATAAATTGTATATGACAATGATTGTCAATTGTAATTATCAATCGATATATACACACACACACACATTTGATTATTATTAATGAATAATAATGTTTTGAAAATAGAGATGAAAAGTAAGTTAGTTTTTTTTTCCTAAGTGGTTTGTTTTTCTTTCGTATTTCGAATACAAATACAAATACGAATAAAATTAAAATGCATTATTCGACAATAACGATACAATTTACCGAATGAGCTTTTTTCTTTTCTATTTTTTTTCGAGCTGGGCCATATGAAACAGAGAGAAAAAACTGATGATAATAATAATAAAAAATATATATTTTTCTATATATTTTAGATGAAAATCTACGTGTCTTGTTTTGATAATAATAAATATTGTAAATACAATTTTCTCTATATACAAATATATTCTCTATACAGAGTGTTTGCAACAAGAACAACAACAAAAAAAAATAAGTCAAGAATATCTTATTTGTCTTTTTTTTCATCTATTACATCATGTATAGAATGAATGATGAAATTTAATAACTTTTTTTTTCTTCTTACAAACATCCTGTATATCACTGTTCTTTTTGAACGTGAATTTTATATTTTGTTTTTTGGTTCTCGTAAAAAAACAACCTATTCATAGCGATGATAGAAACAAGATGAAGAATATGATGACCGGATTCTATTATTCTTGAATGTTTTTTTGTATAATAATATTAGTTACTGTTGTTCATGATGATGAGATTCTTTTCTTTTCGTTTATATTATTTTCTTCATTCACCATCGGTATTGGACCGTGCGATTCGAAACAAAAACGAAAACGAAAACGAAAATGAAATAAAATAAATGGAAAAAAAAGAAATTTTCCTATCCAGGTGTGAACAATGTGAACAACAATGTCGATAACGGTTACAATATTCTCGTTTGGTCGTTCTCAGTTTAGATTTTTTTTTTACATTTCTCATTTTCACATCGTTTGCAGATGACAGCATTCATTTTTTCTGGAATTCCAAATTCAAATTGGCTATTTTTTTTATCATCGATTCAATGATATTGATGATTTATTTTTGAAAATATAAAAAAAAAATATTCTATAATGGCTATAATCTGATATGATGTAATCTTTTTCTCAAAAAAACATTCACGCATAAACACACCACAGAACAAACTTTGATGATCAATTTACTTTACTTTATTTCTATTTTTTTTAACATTTACATTCTCATTGATCAGATCAACCGAATGAAAAAATACACATTAATGACATTATCCAAGAATAATAATAATAATAATGGATCATGATCTTGGTTGATGATGATGATGATTAGTTACAAAAAAAAATATATAATCGAAATGAGAAAGAAAATGTTTTTTCTCATTTTAAATGAATTTCTTTCTCTCTCAATCATTATCAATATATATTACGTCAACATCGACTAATGGTAAAGTTTGACATTGGTTTTCGGTTTTTTTTGCTTCTTCTTCTTCCATTAATTCAAGAAAATATCAATAGATATTATTAATAGATTAGATTCTTTTTGGAACCGTGTTTGTGATTGAAATTTATTTATTTTTTTATTATTACTTCATTTCCTAATGTTTTATCTGTGTAATTTTATCATCATCATCGACATCATAATTAGGTCTGGTTTATTTTACTTCTCTTTTTTTGATTAATGTTTTAATTGACTTTTGTCTGGAATTGTATTTATTCTCTATCTGTGTATATTCCAAAATAAACACCTTGAAAACTTTTAATTTTTTTCCTGACATTTCTCTTTCTTATTCTCTGGTTTCCAATTTACAAGTATTTTATTAAAATGAATCCGATTAATTAAATTTGATTTTTGTGGATAAAATCATCACCATCTTTTTACATTTATTTAATTAAGTTCATTAGGCAAAAAAAATTGACCTTTATATTTCCTTTTGTTTGTTTTTGTTTTTGTTTTGTAGTTCAAATCTGAAACAAATATCCAATATAATTTTATAATATTAAACATTTGCTAAATGGAAATGGCAAATTTTTTGCTTTTTTCTACAATCATTGTCATGACAATATTTGGATACATAGTATACAGAGAGGGAAAGAACAACATAGACATAGTAAATATGAAAATTTCCGATTGTTATGATTACAAATAAATCAAAATGATTAGAAAAAACTGATCGAAAACAACAAGATTTTTTTTTTGTGTTTTGATGAATTTATTAGGCAAATCAGTATCCTTTGATCTTTTGAACACAATCATTTTATGTTGCCTTCATTTCCAAATTCAATCAATCGATTTGATGACATTTTGTTTTTTCAATTTGTTTTCATAACACAAGTAACCAACGGACGATCATCATCATGATGATGATAATGATCATCAGATTCAAAATTGGTTTCCATACACATTGGATTTGTTGCTATTGAACAAGTAGTTTACCTCGAAAAAAAGAACGTAGTATCCACTACCTATGATGATTATTATTATTGAATAAACATTTCCATATCATCATTCATTCACTTTGTATTTCATTGATTTGAATTGTTCAACAATTTCAATGTCGTTTTTGTTTGTTTGTTTGTTTTGCTCACCAATCATTCGCCATCACACAGGTAAATTTTATGGTAAATTTTATGTTGCCATCATCACCACTACTACCATTAACATTATCATCACCGATCACACCATCAATCCACCCACATACACCGAAGATTTTTTTAAAAAATACTTTATTTGTAATTGAGATGTGAAATGAGAAATCGCAGTGTTTCGATCAAGGAAACATCATTTTCCTTATTTCAAATTTTTTTGTTTTGTTTATTCATTCAAATATGCGGTGCAAATTTTCTATTGATTTCAAATATTGATTTCTTTTCTTTTTTTCATTTTAAATCAATTATTAAATTTTGTTGATGTTGTTGTTCAAGACATCATTATCATTATTTTTAAAAAAACAAATGTTTTTTTTTAGCTTTTGGATTTCCGTTCAATTTTCAAATATCTTTTTTTTGTTTTGTTTTGTTTTGTTTGATTGTCAACCCACACAATGATAATACATTGTTGATGGCTAAATGAGTTATTTATTATTTTGTTTCTGTTTTCATTATAATTATTTTTGTGTTTTTTTTCAGTCCGATAATCGGATTATCTAAAATAATAATAATAATAATAGTAGTAAAAAAAATTATAATAGAATTTTACAATCATTTTACATTGACATTATTATTAATATTGTTTGTTTGTTTTGTTTTGTTTGTCCTTATCTTCGATTAATATGTTTGAATATTTGCCTCTGTCATTCTAAATGATTGATTGTGGAATTTATTTATAAATTTTTTTTTCATACATATCATCATTTGACATCTAGAAAAATAAAATTTGTTTTTTGTTTCTGTTTAATGTTCCTCCTATTTGGTTTTCTATTTCTATCTATAACTAATTTCCGTTTATCATTATTATTATTTCAATTTTGACAGGTTAAATTCATTCAACCACATGTGTGTTTGCGTTTTTGTGTATAAACAACAACATATAGCGTGCTCATTTGTTTTTTCATTGTTGGAATGCTAATTTTTTTGGATCATCCTTCGTCATCATCATAATCATCATTATTATCACCATTACTTTTTTTTGGAAAATTCAAACAGAAATTCTGTGATCATCATCATTTAAGATATTATCAACATCATCAAGAATGTAATTTTTTTTTTTTTGAAATCATTTTTTTGAAATTAATGATAGATGAAATAGAAAAAAAATCAATATTATCACTGCCAATCATCAAATGTTGATTGAATCTACAATAATTTTAATCTTGATTTCCGTTATTGATATTGTGCATAAAAAACGATCTAAAATCAAATTTGAAACAACAAAAAAAAAGTTCAACAAACTCGACCATCAAACAATCAATAATATATTCACCGAATTCATTCAGTTTAATAACAACCAACAACAACAACAACAACAAAATTTACGTTCCAATCATTTTACATTTGTTCTCTTCGTGTCTTTATGTGTGTGTGTGTATGTTTTTTCTGTTATAAATTCTAGTTTTTATTCATTGTAACATCCGGTAACGACAACAGATCGGAAATATAATTAATATTTATCGTAATTGATCTGATAATAGGAAATTAAAAAAAATAAAATAAAACAAAACTCAACAGAACAGACAAAAAAATCCACTATATAATATAATAGTCATGATGTCGACTCATTCTGGTCAACCAGTTGCCACAACACGTTTCTCCGATAATTATGATCTCAAAGAAGAGCTCGGAAAGTAAGTTACAAATTATTATTATAATAATAATAACAATTATTATTATCATTAAAAATGATCATAATAATAATATTTTCATTCATGGATATGAGATTGATTAATATGAGAATCATTATTATTATCAGAATTCTGTTTTTTTTTACGTTTAACGAATTTTGATTTTGGATTGTAATTATTCAACCATAACCATTTATATATGAACAAACCACTTTCACATATTCATCAGACAAAAAAAAGTGAATGAATAAATCCGAAAATAACTGTCGGATTTGATACGATTTTTTTTCTCACTGTTATTTAGTTCTATAACAACACTGACAACAACAACAAAAATCTGATGATATAAATATGTCAGTGGAATTTATGTCAGTAATGTTTTTGTAAGTGATTATATGGCGATGAACCAACCAACCAACCAACAACAACAATAATAACAAAAATCATTAAGAAAAGAATAAAGAAGAATTAAAGGATTATTTTATTTGTATTCAAGAAGGAAAAAGAAAAGAAATAATAATAATAATGTGTGTAAATTAGGAAAAACTATTAGATATGATCCATTATCATTATTATCAACCCTTTTTTGTTTTTCTCATTACTTGTTTGTTTGTTTGTTGTTGTTGAAAATGCAAGCATATAAGTGAATAAAACAAAATTCCTTGATATGCCAATCATTTATAAGTTTTATTTGATTGTAATTTGGTTGATGTTGTTGTTGATGATGGTGGTGGTGTGTGTTAAAAATAATAATAATAATCAACGCTTCAAGCCAACAACAAAAAAAAAGCCGGCAGAATATTTTATTCAAACCAGATTTAGAATCGACTGTTGTAGAATTTCAAACTATTTTATTTTTTTGTATGAATTCAAGAAGAAAAAAAATGATATAAAATTGTTGTTGCCGATGTAAATTGTTTGTTACTGATGATGATGATGATGATAGTCAGTCAATATTCTTTTCTGCTCTTGAATCTTGTATTGCTCATACTGTCTTATTTTTATTCGATTTTCTTTTCTTCATTTTTTTTTGGCATCCACAACTTTATTATCGTTGTCGTTGTCGTCGTCGTTGTTGTGTATGATCATCATACATAATAATACAAATTCCATTGTAGGTTATTCCGGGGTACTTGTCTTAGATTCTGGGTTAAATTCATGCACAGAATATAGCAAAACAACAAACGAACAGGGCAAAACAACATATGAACGACGAACAAAATGAAATGAACAAAAAAAAACAACTATTCGATTGGATATTTACTTTTTTTTTGTACAACAATTCTATTTATTTTGTTTGTGTTTTTGTTCAATTTGATTATTTTATTATCATCATTTCAAAATTGAATTTAAGAATTCAATTTGAATTTTATTTTTCGTTTAAATATTGCATCTTTTTTAACGTTTTGCCAATCTTGTGATTTAAAATTGAATGTTTTTTTTTCGTTTTCGTTTTCGTTTTCTTTGAAAACAAATAAAACCTAATATCATCATTATAACGTTGTTGACATCATCATCGTTTCTTTTTTTCATCAATTGTGCGCGTCATTGCTTACGTTTGAAATGTTTGATGATGAAATTCTTCAGCATAAAACCAAATAAAACCAAATGAATAAACAATTAAATTGAAAAAATTTGCTAATGGCAATTAAAGATTCAAATTATCCATATCATCGTCAACATTTAGCTGATAATAATAATGATAATAATGTTGATCAACATTTGATACGTCAAAGACAACAACAACAAAATGATTATTATTATAATAAAGAAAAATTTAGTAAATCAGAATCAATATTAAATATTAATAATGATAATATTGTTACAATTTTCATTATATTTATAATAACAATTATAATTATTTTATTAATCAATCGTATCAATAAGATTTATTTGTTTATTTGTAATTATAAACATGTTTATAATCAAAAAATTGATTTAATAAATAATGATGATGATGATGATGAATGTAATAACATTGTTGACAATAAAATCAATAATAATAATAATGATGATCATTATTTCCAACAAGAATCATCATCATTGATTCAGAATAATAATAATAACATTATTATTATTGATCGCCATCTACCATCATCATCAAATGATCGACGACGATCATCATCATGTGAAAGTGATCATCATCATCATACTGATATATTACTTGATAAATATAATTTTCAATTAAATGAAAAAATTCTAGGCGAATTGGTTGGATTTCCTGGAGCGTCATATGGATCGTAAGAAGAATTTAATGGGAAATTTTTTTTTCCTGATAACAAAATGAATGAATAGATTTAGCCTTTGGCTGAAAAAAAGAAATTCCATAGAATATATTACAAATTCAATACATTTATGACTGAAAAAGAATTTCGAAATTCTTCAAGCAATTCAGAATTTTTTTCGTTTTTATTTTTCAATTTCTAATTTTGATTATATTTTTTTTTATCATTAAATTTTTTATCATTTTGTAGAGGAGCATTCTCGGTTGTACGAAGATGTGTACAAAAATCTACATGCCTGGAATTTGCTGCCAAAATAATTAACACTAAAAAACTTTCATCTCGAGGTAGGTGTTTTTGTTTTGTTTTGAAAATAAGTATATTAATTTTGATGATTTTCTTGTTCTTTTTCTATGTTTTTGGCATATTCATTGGAAATTTATATGCCAATTTTAAATCTTTTGAATTTTTTCATCAAAAAAAATATCATTCATTTTGTTATCAAAATAGATTTTCAAAAACTCGAACGTGAAGCACGTATATGTCGTAAATTGAATCATCCAAATATTGGTAAGTTTTTTTGTTTCACATTGAATTTATGTATAAAGTTTTTTTTCTTTGTACAGTTCGTTTACATGACAGCATCCAGGAAGAAGGATATCATTATCTTATTTTTGATCTGGTCACCGGTGGTGAATTATTTGAAGATATTGTTGCACGTGAATATTATTCCGAAGCAGATGCTTCCCATTGTATACAACAGATATTGGAATCCGTTAACCATTGCCATATGAATAATGTTGTTCATCGAGATCTAAAGGTTTTATTTTGAGTTTGACTTTTATTTTTTATTTCATTATTATTGTCTTATAAAATTTAGCCGGAAAATTTACTATTGGCCAGTAAAGCTAAAGGTGCCGCCGTTAAATTGGCTGACTTTGGCTTGGCCATTGAAGTTCAAGGTGAACAACAAGCGTGGTATGGTTTTGCCGGTACACCTGGTTACCTATCACCTGAAGTACTAAAAAAAGATCCATATGGAAAACCAGTCGATATTTGGGCTTGTGGTATGTGATTTGCGATTAAACATATATGATAAATTCTATGATAAAATAATTATTTGATTCTGTTTGATTAGGTGTGATCTTATACATTCTATTAGTTGGCTATCCACCCTTTTGGGATGAAGATCAACATCGTTTATATGCTCAGATAAAAGCCGGAGCCTATGATGTATGTAAATTGATCGGGTATTTTTTGAATTCAAATTTCATTTTTCCCTCATATCAATAGTATCCATCACCTGAATGGGATACAGTAACACCGGAAGCTAAAAATTTAATAAATTCAATGCTAACGGTAAATCCGGCAAAACGTATAACAGCAGCCGAAGCATTGAAACATCCTTGGATATGTCAACGTGAACGTGTTGCTAGTACATTACATCGACAAGAAACAGTGGATTGTTTGAAAAAATTCAATGCAAGACGTAAACTTAAAGGAGCTATATTGACAACAATGTTAGCAACGAGAAATTTTTCCAGTAAGTTTTCATTTCATTTCATGTTTCCAATTATTTTTCTTCATTTTTGAGGATTTTTTTTTTTGTTATCGGATTAGTATTGAGAGATACTGTTTTATTATTACAAATTTGAACAAAAATAGGCGAAAAAAATCATCAGATGATAATTGTAGAATTAGATGTTCGAATAAAATAACAAAAAAAAGGTGGAAAGAAAAGAATTAATGATGATGAGACAAATGGAAAAGAGAAGGTAGCAAGCTTGTTGCGCTTGTTATAAATTCAATTAATTTCAAATTAGATTGCTTCATTATTTGTTCTCTCTTATTATTTTTATTTTCATTATAAATTTCTTATTTTTTAATTTTATCATTTTTTAATTTTATTTTTGTTTTTTTTCTTTGTTTTAAAAAATATCATTTTCTGCCTGCCCGATGCAATCATGATAAATGTGCCTGTCCATATTTCTGTGCTTTTGTAATGATGATGATAATTGAAATCGAAAAAAAAACACACAAAGGTCGATCAATCATCAATAAGAAAAGTGATGGTTCACAAGTAAAAGAAAGCACTGATTCATCCAACACTACGTTAGAAGACGAAGATACTAAAGGTGTGTACCATTCAATTTGAATAAAACAAAAAAAAACATATTCTGTTTCATTTATTTTTTGTTGTTCCGTTTATTTATCATGATCGAGTTTTATTTTCAAAATTCTCTGAGTTTCTGTTGTTGTCTATAGAAATGCTTGAATCTAATCTAATGTTTTTTCTTTTTAAATATTTCTTTTGATTTCATTATTATTAAAAGAGAAATGAACCTAATTAAAGTAATTTATTTAGTAAATTAACCCTTTCTATTATTGTATTTAGTTTTCTTATTTTAGTTGAAAGAAAAAAATAATTAATAATCATTAGAATCAGAATCAGTTGATGATGATGAAAGAGCTAAAATTTTTGTTTGTTTGTTTGTTTGTTTTTTTTAAATCTGTGCTTGCTTTTTGTGTATGGCCTCGGCAGAATTTTTCTTTTCTTTTGTTTTTGTTCCGAAAAAATAAATTAAAAAATGTCAATTTTTTTTAGTCTCGGCTTTTTATATGCGTGTGTGTGCGCGAGCGCAAGTAATTTATCTATTTGTGTGAATTCTTCATTAAAAAAAAATTCAATCAGTATTATCATTAAAATTTAGTTCATTGTGTAAGAATTGGAGTGATAATGGAAAATTTCAAACAAAAAAAAACGACATTTGCCCTAAGAAGAAAATTTTTTCTGTTTGTTTTTCCCAGAAATTATTACTATTTTTATTCTTTTATTAATAAAATCATCAGTTTTTTTTCAAGATAAAATTAAAGAATCTCTAGCATGCGCACATTTATGTGATTTTTATAATTTTCATTTTTTCAAAAATGTCTAAATTTTTATCATTTTCTATAATTTATTATTCTTATTTTCCTTTCCTTTTCCTTTATTTTTTTTAAAAAAACTATGAAAATTACCAAAAACAAAACAAAAATTCTTGATAAAAACCAAAAAAACCAATTAAAATTGATTGAATATTTTGATTGAAAACAAAATGATGATGATTGATAAAATCAAAACAAAATTCGGTTTATTTATGACATCGATGACCACCACCACCACCATCATCATCACTATCATCATTTGACCTAAAAATCAAATCTAAATTTTTATAATAAAAATAAATAAATAAATGGCCAGATTGTCTACTAAATCAACACGGAGTTGAACGAAGTCGTACAGTAATAATGGCCGATTCATCACAAGGTATTATCCAATTGATTAAAAATTTCCGTGTAATTCATTACAAATAATAAAAACCAATTGCACACCAATAATTTCACATGTAGAAAATTTTCAAGTGAAAAAAATGTATCCTTTTCTTAGATTTGTTGATCATTCATTCATGACAAACATATCCCTCGTATGTGTGTCGTAGATTAATGTGTAGATTAATCCTGGTAGTTTGGTAGTACCATTAAAAAAACATTCAATGTGGTTTTGTAAATGTAAAATGTTTTTTCATTGTAAGCTAAAATCTTTCTTCTTTTTCTCTTTTTTTTTCTCTCTCTTTTCTTTATTCCCTTTGATTTTCTCATTGATCCAAAAAATCATCAATCTAATAATGAAATCGACTTCGAAATTTTCCCATTAAAAAAACCTATACCATTCGAAAAAATAATAAACCAAAAACCGAATGATTAAAAAAAATCCTGGGCCCCTTTTATCATCCCGATTACGTGGGCCCAATTTTTTTTTCTCCTCTCAAATCCACCCATTCCTATTGAAATTACACCTGAAAAAAAACAATCTAAATGAATATCATTTTCAATAAAAAATAAAATTTGAAACAAACAAACAAAAATATGAATAATGATAATTAGCTCGTCTATCCAATGGTGGTGGATCATTCGAACGTAAGTATCCGTTCATCCAATTATATATCATTTGAAAATAATTAAAAAAAATGGGATTCATCCTGAGCCAATTAAACAAGCCAATTAATAGATTTAAAAACAAATTGGATTGACACATTGCATTCGGTAGCTAAAAAAAATTAAGGCTAAAATCATTTGAATTATAATAAAATATTCTGTGGAAAAAGCTTTTTTTATATGGAACTCAAGTTTACAAAATCACCTCTTTCCTAAATACACACAAACTTACCTACACCTGTTTCTTCTCTGAATATTTTTTTGTTTCTGTTAGATCAACCAAAAAAATTCTCGATCAATTAAATCGATCGATTTCATGCGGCTTTTTGATCTTGAACCAAATGTTTTAAATCAATAATTAATGCATGTCCTTTCACAGGATGAGTGAAGAATTTTTATTCATTTTGTAAATGTTTAATAATTTGTTTGATTTTCGGTTTTCTGTATGTCTTTTTCTCACCCATTTCATTCGTTTTAATGCATGCCATTTTCAATTTTTTTTTGTCAATCATATTTATTGTAATTAATCAATCAATCAATCAATCAATCGAAATTAATTAATTAATTCTTTTTTTGTTTTTTTCCACTTTGTGATTGGATCATCATCATTGTTTTTAAATATATATAGCACGAAAACAAGAAGTGATCAAAGTAACGGAACAATTATTGGAAGCAATCAATACGGGCGATTATGATACATATGCAAAATTATGCGATCCAAATATAACAGCATTCGAACCGGCAGCATTGGGAAACCTAGTGGAGGGTGTGGACTTCCATAAATTCTACTTTGACAATGGTCTCACACACACACAAACATACAGACAAAATATAGTTTATTTCTTTTGAAAAAAAATAATGATGATGATGATACCTAATCATCATTATTAAACATTTATTGGATAGAGATTCTCATAGTAAAAAAAAAATATTTCATTTTAAATTAATTTACCGGTACAATCGAAATTCTTATCTGAACAGAATTTTCAATTGCAATAAACATACACACACACACATCATTTGAAAAACGTAAACAGGAAACTCATCAAACTTAATTATTTTTACATCTGAAATTTTGAAAAAAAAGAATGAATGAAAAACAATTCAGTTTTGAAAGATTTATTTTTTTTCTTCAAAATTTCATTTCTTTTTTCATTATTCTTTCTTTTCCAATTCTTGGAAAGAGAAAAACTTTTTCAAAATCTTTATCACATGAACCAATAGAATAGAACATTACATTCACTAGAATGAAAACAACAACAACAACAACAATACTAATCATGATTAACCAACAAATGACAACCCTAATTAGATTTTGTTAATAGAAATCTTAATTGAATTTTTTTTGTTTTGTTATTTGTTTCAACCCAAAATACACATTATTATCGTGAATTTTATATTTATATATTCAAGTCGATGTTGTTGTTTTTGTTTTCGTTCGCTGTTCATCAGTATAATGATTTCTATTTGAGTTTATTTTTCGATGACAATAATAATAATAATGATTAATCAATCGATTCAAATATCGATATACAAACTGATAATAGTGATGATGATGATGATGATGAGGAATATAACTTTTTTGTTTACAAATGATAAATTTATTTGTAACACTTATTATTTACAATTTTGAAAAATAATTCTCTGAAATCTTTATATTAGAAAATAATAATAATAATAATTTTATCCGTATTACACAAGATTAAATTAGATTAGTTTATTTTATTTTTTTCTCGCTATAATCATCATCATCATCAGTGACTATTCATGTTTAGGATCATAGAATAACATTCACATGATATAAATACATACACCTACACACACACACACACACACACATAAACCCGAATTATTTTCAAAGAAAAAAAAACAACAAACAAATTCAATTATTCATTCACATTCTTTTTCCCGTTTCCTGTGTTGTTGTTTTTTTATATATATTTCCTTTTAAATTCAATGTTGTTTCCGTTCTTTTTTTTCCTTTTTTTTATTATTATTTCACAAATTATTTATCTGATATTAATGCCTGATTTTTTTTTTCTCTGTTTTATTTTCTGTTATTCAATATGGCTGGCTGGCTAAACAATACAACTAACAAACTACTATACAGTATTTGGAAAGAATTGTAAATCAATCAATTCAACTATATTGAATCCATCGGTTCATCTATTGGGTGATGATGCCGGTCAGTAATTTTAAATTTATTTCCGTATATTTCTAATTTCCGGTTAATGTTGTTCTTTTTTCTGTTTGTTTGTTTTCATTCATTCATTTGTAGCCTGTATCGCCTATATTCGTTTGACACAATATGTTGACAAGTAAGTTTGATTGACACACACATTGAGTGAAATTTGTAATTTAATTTTCTTTTTTTCATTTTCTCTCGATTTCATTCAATATTATCTATTAATGATGGAAAACAATCAACAACAACAACATCATCATTAACAGACAAGGCGTCGCTCATACTCAACAATCGGAAGAGACAAGAGTATGGTTACGTAAAGATGGTAAATGGCAAAATTGTCATTTACATCGTTCAATGCGTACAGTATCTGGTCATCAATTGGCCTTTTGACCATCACCATTACGAATCAATGTCGTTGTTATTAAACCACCACAACCATATCGATGACTTAAAAAGGAACAATCTATTTTTGTTGGCAAATAAAATGTGTGTGTGTGTGTGTGTGTTTTGAATTGACAACTTTTTTTTCATCAATTTATCATCGTCTCACATACGACATTTGATTCATTTTGGTTTTGAAATTAGAATTGTGTGGAAACAAAAAAAAAATTTTCAAATTTTAATCTAAACCAAATATACAAATAGCAAACATCCATTCATCTTTACTCCTGATAAATTAAACGAATTGAATAATGATAATTATATTAAAAAAAAATCAAACAAAACTAATTCCGAGAAGCTAAAAAGCACGCCCATATTTTCAAAAGACATTCTTCATTCGAAACAACCGAAAACACTAAAATGACTGAATGAATAAAATCATGAATGAGCCAAAAATAAATAAATTACTTTTTCATTATCACACACATTACTACAAAATCAAACAAATTCTAACCGAAAAAAAAAATAAAATTTTGATTACATATCGAACTTGTAAAATTTGCTCCGACAAAAGAAAAAAAAAGATATCCACCGACACACATCCACATGATTGTTTTTTTTTTGATTTTAGTTGAAATTTTTGGAAATGTTTTCTTCTTCTTTTTTTGCAAACAAAAAACACGTACCTTTGAACGTGTTCCTGTGTTCGTGTGTGTGTATGTGTGTCTATTTCTTGTGCAAATTTCTTGTGTTAATCATTGTGTTAATTAATCTTATCTTGTTTTTTTTCCATTTGATCTAATTATTATTGAAATTAATAATGTCACTCTTTTTCTCATCCACTCCTTAATCGTTTGTATGCGTGTGTGTGTGTGTATTGCCATAATTTTTAAATTTCACAATTTTTTTTCTTTTTTTTTGCTATTTAATAAAATAATTTTTGGAAATTACAAAACCAAAATGAGTGAAAATAATCTGTCATCCATCCACTATTACCAACACCATTATCAACCACCAAATTCACCAAAAAAAAAAACACATCCTCATCTTAAATGGCCTATTTTGCCTAAAAACAAAATGATGATAATGATAATTTCTCATATTTCATTTACACGCAAACACACCAACAACATCAATCACCAAATCATACTTATTGCTTTCTCACCCACACACACACACATACACTTTATATATCTTTTTTTTTCGCAAAACAAAACAAAAAACTAATGATGATGATCGATATGATGACATTTTGATAATTTTATTAATTATCATCATCATCATCATCATTATTATGATCACAAAATGTCTACTTCCTCTTTCATTCATTCATTCATTCATTCATTTTGTTTGTCAAATTTTCTTGTTAAATTGTTGATAATTTATATTCCTTTTTTCTTCTTTGTCTCTTTCATTCATTCATTCATTCATTCATTCATTCTTGTGTTTTTTTCTGTGTGCCCATTATTTTAATAATTTATATTTAAAAAATTTTTTTTGTTTTGTTCTTCTTCTTCTTCTTATTCTTGTGTGTGTGCAATTGTATAATTGATAATAAAAAACAAAAAAATTTTCATTGATAAAACACATTTATTTAAATAAATAAATAAATAATTCTTTGTCACAATTGTTTGTTTGTTTGTTTGTTTTAATTTTTTCTTGATAAACTTGAAAAAGTAATGAATGTTAGATGTTGAATGTAAAGGTTTTAAAATATTTTTATTCTTATTCAATAAGATTTCGGTACTGTTTTATTCCGGTAATTCAAATTTCGATAACATTGATGATGGATGATAATTTAAGAGGAGGAAAGGGAAAGAGAAAAATGATTCAATTTTAATTATTAAATTCAATTATGATCAATAGCCACCACCACCATTATTATTATTATAGCCATCATTTCCACCACCATAGCCACCACCATAATCCCCATCCATACTACCACCATATGATTCACCTGAAGAATAACTACTACTACTACCACCATAAGATCCACCCGAAGAATAACTACTACCGCCACTGCTACCACCACCGTAATTACCTCCACTATATCCATTGTTCATAGGATAGCTCATAGAATTTCCATATCCTCCGCCACCATAACCCATCATGATTGGATGTACATGTACTTGAATATGTTTTGGTTGTGGATATGGATAACTTTGTTGACGTTTACAACCACTACCAATCATCATGATCCTTAAAATATGGAATAAGAATTACTTTCATCGAAAAAAAACAATCATTAAAACGATAGCTTACATATCCTGGCCTTTCTTTTTGGATTTTTTACTTGGTGACATCATAAACGGTATCATACTACATGGTCCACCAGCGATCATACTTCATAAATATCGAAAAAAACCATTATTTATAATAGAAAATTAATCCTAAATTCAAACTTACGTGCCATCTTTTCCCGATAGAACTAGCATTGGATCACCCCCATAAGAATTTCCACCACCACCATAAGAACCGCCACTACCACCGGCCATATTACCTAGCATTTCTGCGTGATCAGGTTGATGATGATAGATGGATTGAAAAGATTATCACAGATAAATATGATACTTACGGATGGTCATTTCGGATTTTTTACAATCAATCACAGTAATTAACGATAAACAATGAATAAACAGAATAGTTACAATAGATGAACAGGTTACTCGAAATAAAGTTGCCATTATTGAGTTGTCAAAGAATTGTTTTTCTGTTGAAATTATTAGTTTATACACGACAAATGTTAATATTGACGAATGAATGACTAAAATTTGATGGTTTTTATACTGATCGTCTGACGGAAGAATACAAAACAAATATGAATATGAATTTTTTCGCCAAAAAATTATAATCGAAGAGAAAATAGAAATTGATTAAATGATCCGTAAATATCATTCTCATGATAAGATTTTGAGAATGAAATTCCAACATGATCATTGATTGTCATGAATGAATAAATCAAACGGGTCATGACACTCAAATAATTTATGAATTTATTTAGTAATTATCATTAGAGAGAAGTAAATCAGTGAAAATGAAACGAAATAAAAAACAAAAACAAAAAACAAAATTTTCATAGTGTCATCGCCGATAACAGAGAAAATGATGGTCATTATTGTATGCCATTGACTTTTTCATCGTTTTTTTTTCGGTGAACAATTTCAATCAACAATTTTATCGTATTCAAATGTCCAATATTGATCGGTAGCTGAAAAAAATTCCGAATAAATTAAGCAAATTCTTTTCCAATTAATTTCATACATACCATTCTAATGATTAATATCATTGAATAATCAAGTTCAATATGCTTGATTCGACAATTTTGTAAAAATCTATATTGAATATAATATGAACGTATTGTTGGAATGGAAAGTAAAATAATTTTTATCAATTCGATTATAATTAATAATGCCATTATGAATAAATAAAACCATATAAACAATACAATTCTACCTAATAGTAGATTAAATCTAATCGAACATAATAATTCTGTTCGTTGTAATTGACCACTATTACCATAATAACGATATGTACATGGTACTATTGTCGGAAATAACTATTGTTGTTGTTTTTGTTTTTTTTAAATGGAAATTTGATAAAATAATAATGATTACAACAAAATATTCAATATTTAATAAATCATCACCTTTTGTCTGGGATCTTCTTCAATTGTAATATTATTATTATTTGATTGAAATTTGATCCATTCCCAACCATAAATCAATATTGATTTAGTATTTGGTATCATTGTCCAGGAAAACATTCCAATCATTAATGGTAATGAAATTAATATCCATAAATGTATGAATAAAATTATTATTGTCATATGATGATTATTATTATTGGTAATTCGATTCAATTTATTTAGTATTTTTATTGTTTGTTTACGATTATGATGTCCAAATGAATCAATTGAATTATTTATTGCTGATTGTAAACAACGACAATTTTTCGATCGAGACCAAATTGTTTTCGGTAATATAAACATCAAACACTATAAGTAATGAATTAATTGATAGTTTTAGTTTTTAGGGAAATAAGAGAACAAAATGGAAATTTTGCATCATATTACCATTGTAATCATGATTGGTATTAACCAATAATAAATACGATTAAAATGATGAACATTATTATGATCATTATCAACATCATGATGAGAATCAGTAAAACTTGATTCAAGAAAACAAAGCGATTCGGCCATTTCATAATCGATATTTGAATCATTTCCAATACAAACAATTGCTGGTCGAAAAAATTGAGAAAGAAAACAAAACCAAACAATACCCATATAGATTTGCCATGAATATTCAATATATAACCATAATGTAAAATTCCATCGAAATTCATTTGATTTATTTGATTTTTTGGAAATTTTTTTATAAATTTTCTTTATCAACGACATGATTGATTGTTTTAAAATGATGATAACCGGATCAAATAAAATTCTGAAAGAAAAAAACTTGCAATTACAAGCGCTATCGATAGATGGCAGAAATGATTGATCCAAAATGAAATTTTATTCCATTAAAAAAAGCTAAATATAATGAAAGCGATAAATTGTTCGATTTCAAATGATAATGATGGATATCTTCTCTTGTTCGTTTGTCCATGTTTAATGACATTGTAGAATTTAAAAAACTAAACGGTTGACAATGAAAACTGGTTGAATTTTATCTGCCAATCCAATCCTCAATTCAAGCTAAATAATGATAATCATGTTTGATAATTGGATTTTTTTTCAATCTGCTAAAAAACCAAAAAAATCAACAACCCTTTTCATTTTGTTTAAAATCCTATGAAAACCCATACACACACATTAAAAAAAAGTATGATTGGAATTCTAAAATCATACGATTGCATGATCAAAATTGAATTCAAAAATTCATTGCCGTTTGTTTCATTAGAAATTGTATTGCATGTGTGTGTGTGTGTGCTGATTATTGTTTTAGAATATTGATGTAATTAACATTATGACGATGATTATAATGATTATTGTCATCAACATCATCATCATCATGATAATCATAAGGTAGTGTTAAGGTATTGGTTTATTGTTTTCGGCATTGTTCAACAACTTTATTCACAATTTATTGGACACAATTCGTTGATCATAATAGTGATTTATGTTTGTTCGGTTTTTTTTTTCATTTCTTTTGTTTAATCATAATAATGATGACAACTATACAATCAACAAGTGAAAAAACTAATCAAATATTTTTCTTCATTAAACTTCAAAAATTGAAAATTGATCAAGATTTTTCTTTACTTTTCTTTTTCTGATTGATTAATTCAATCATATTTATCGATTTATATTCAAACAATCAATCAATCAATCAATCAATCATTCACACACACACACACACAAACCAGAAAAAAATTGATTGATTTTCTGACTTCCATTTCCTCTTTATGTTTTTTTTTCAATTTTCTTCAGTTATTATCTTGCTCAATCATCATCATCATCAATATGTCATTGTGTGTTTCTGTTTCTTCCTATTTCTTTCAATAATGATAATGAATTATTGATTAGTGACATTAAACAAATCAACAAAAAACAAAACAATATTTTCCCCTTCATTTCATTTGTTGTTCCATTCGAATTTCCGGTTGATTCGAAAATCGATGAAAAAAATAAACATTTGTTTCACAAAAAAAATTGATCATATTTTGCTATGTGACCTTTCAATTTATCGACACAGCTGTTTAACATTGATCGATATGGATTGATCGATCATAATTAATAGTGAAATGTTTTGTTTTTGTTCACATCTGAAAAAATGTTGTTCCGTGTTGAATATATTTCTACAACATTAATGGCCAATGATCGATTGCAAACTATATTCCGTAATTTAATTTTTTTTTCAACATATGTTTGTCGCTAATAATTATCTTTTTTTTTTGTGTGTGTGACTATTTTGATGGACAAACCACTTGTTGTTATGTATATGTGTGTGTAAATGTTTGTGTTTTATTTACCTGTTTTACTATCAATCATAAATCTTAAATGAACAGAGTGAGAGCTGATCTTTTCTGGTTAAAACCAGCCAACCAACCAATTCATTTAACATACTTTGGTTTTTATCAATTGAATCAATTTGACCGTGTAGTGTTTGGTGTTCCAGAAAATTTTCTTTTTCTATTTTTTTTTTCTCAATCGATCTGTACATTTTTGTTGTTGTTGTTTTGCTTTATTGTTCCAAAAATCTCTATTCAAATGTCTCAATAACTATCAAATCCTTAAACACGCCTGGCAAAAAAAACAAAACAATCGTTTTGTTGACAATTATATCCTAAATATACACAAACACACATCGATTAGATCCGACCTTCTACCACGAACAAGACCATCATCATCATCATCATCATCACCATCCCCAAATCATAATCATTGCCAGGTAACTTAATTTATAGTTTAGTTGTAGAGAAAAAGTTTTCTCTTTCTCTCTTTCTCATAGCGAACAATTGTTTGTTTTTTTTCGGTTTCTGGATCATGGCTACCAATCATCCTTTTTTTTATTGCCATTTTTTATAAGATCATATTCAAAAAAAAAATAAGTACAATTTAATCATTAATTTTGATAAACATTTAATATCATTAATCAAATGATTTGTCATTGAAATTCATTAATATTACTTTTTTGTTTTGTTTTGTTTTGAATCCAATCATAATGATTTATTCATTTGTTTGTTTGTGAATTCATAATGTAAACCAGAAAAAATGATGAATAATCAATTGAAAAAGTTTCATCCAAAAACATCATCACGATTAACATTAATTTCCTCATCATCATCATCACCATCATCGACATCATCTCGATTATCATCATTGAATTCAATGTCACAACAACAATCGAAAGAATTACGAAAGAAAAATTGTTGTAATGATTCAATTTTTTCATTCCAATCGGGTACCGAATCATTATCATCTTCATCATCTACATCCTCATCTAAATCATCATCATCATCATCATCAGGTTTTAATCGTATTAAATGTCATTGTCCAAATGTTTATCAAAATCATTTATTAGAATCAAATATTAACTATGATGATTATGATGATAATAATAATAATCATAATAATAATGATAAACTAAAAAGTGCCAATAAAATTATCGATAAACAAAAATTAAATCAAAAAGTTTTGATGATGGATGGTACAAATGTAAAACGTGTATTTCTAAGTCACCATCAACAACAACAAAAACTACCAACAATATGGACATCAAAAATATGGCCATATTGGCAACAGAATTTTCAATCATCATCAACAACAAAAAATATAGATAATATTATAATTGATGATAAAAATGTTAATCATCATCATGATGAACAAACAGCCGGTGTCATCAAACTTATCGGTAAATGTTTAAAGATTCTTTTATTCAAGATGTGTGTTTGCGAAAATTGTGGAAAATTCTAAATTTAGACAATTTTTGTTTGTTTGTTTGTTTGTCTATTTCAAGCATGCCTGGGCGTTGTTTGTTTTTCAATTCTCGTTCTGAAATTTTCTTCTTCTCTGCTTCAGAATTTGATTATTCAAAGAAAAAAAAACGAATATGAATTTTTCATCACTCAGAAAGAAACTGGGGAATTCCGTTTGAATAATAAAAATTTTGTTTTTTTTCTCTCACTACATTTAGGATCATTTTTAATTGGAATACTATTTTTATCATTGGTTGCTATTGCTGTATTTATTCGTGTCGAAACGAATAAATCTTCTACGATAATGATAATGGATACGGCTGCTTCATCATCATCATCATCCAAAACAACAACAACAATGACATCGAATAGAAATAAAAATTCAATGATAGAAAATAATAGCAAAATAAAAAATAACAACAACAAAAATGAAAGAAATCATCAAAATGTTAATAATAATGGTGCTATCATTCTAGCATCTTTATTATCATCATCGCCATCAAGATTATCATCATCATCACCATCAAATGTTGAGCCTAATCCAACAACATTACAGATGGTAAATAGTTTATTAATGGAAGATGTTGATTCCTTCAACAATAACAAAATTAACAACAGTAAAAAACGTGAAATTCAACCACCGACAACAATAGAAACAATTGAAAAGCGAAAAATAAATGAAACAAATCCGATTCTATATTCGGAAGCCAAATATTTGCCATCATCAACAATTAATTTAGCAGAACAAAAAAATCCAAATGAAATGATTAATAATAATAATAAGTCAACAACATTACAATCGATTGTGATACCTACACAACGTATCATCATTGAAATGGACATTAAGGTCACCAAACCAATAATAACACAAAATAACAATAATAATAATGATGATAGTGACAATGTTAATGATGATGATAATAATAATTCATCATCTTGACGATTTATTCAAAATTATTAATATCTTAAACTGTCACACACATATCAGAATAATAACAACAATCAGAAATGTCATTTCTTTTCAATTATTGACTATCATTCTTTTTTTTTGTTTTCCTTTTTTTTGATTCTGTCATTTATATATTTTTTTTAACCTTGAATTTTGATTAAAAATCATAAAATTTTTTTATTCTCTTTTCGTCTTTAATTTCAAAAACAATCGATGAATCATTCCAATGAATGTTTTTTTGTTTTTCATGATGAAGAATTCTGTTTTTCATAAACTGACAAATGGAGAATAAGATGAAAAATACGAAAAACAGTTATTTCAAAAGTTTTTATTTTCTTGTCTAAAAATATACTGTACAACATCTGTCGAAAGAATTGCGAGAGAAACAAAAAAAGAATTATTCAATTCAACTTTATATAAATCAGTCAAACAGACAGACATGAAATGACACATACCCGCATGTACAAACAAATCGAAATTAAAAAAAACAAGAATTATAGCAACAACAACAAAAAAAAGACAGATGTAATTTCTTTTATTTTGTTGTTGTTGTTGTTGACGATATTTGGTAATCATAATTTTCGTTTTGCTTGAAAAAAAATTGCTCGAAATTGGTTGAAAAGCCCGGCAACAACTTTGCAAATGTAATTACAAGAAAAACAAAGAAAGAAATTATACAATGTCGATGTATAAAAAAAAATGTCAAAATCGATAATAATTTTTTTCCTTTGAATGATAAATCAATTATTCAATCGACAAAAAGTTTTTTTTTCATTTTCAATGAAAGGAAATGTTTATCTATTTAGTATAGATATGATGATGATGATGATTGTCAATTGTCAAACAGATCAAATCTGGATTTAATCGGAAATCTGCATTGTTTTTTTTCATAAAAGATAGTTACTACGACGATAAATTATGATTATCATATAAAATTTTTTTTGTGGTTTCCTTTTATCGATGTGTAACAGTAGAAAACCAAAAACCTAATGATAAAAATTTTACATATTTATGGCATTTATATTTTGATTCAATGTTCAATGTAACTATAGTGATTGATTGATTAAAATTGAATAAAATATAAAAAAAAGTAATTTGATTTCAATCTTTTTTCATATTTAAATTCATTCCGTTTGAAGATTATGATCAGTGAAAATCTGTAGGTAATTTGAAGCGAAACAATGTTTACAATGATGAATGAATAAATCTAAAGAATCTCGATTTAAAGTTTTATTTCATTTCGTTTTTGTTTTTGTTCAGTATAGTTAATGATGTTCAATCATGTTTCGGTCTAGCTATTTTTAACATTATTCTTGCATATTTTATTTAGTCATTTCAGTAACTTACATAATAATTTATTGAAAAGTGAAAAGTGTGTAGATGTTTTGTCTGTTTGTTTGTTTGTGTGACAATTGAAATATAGTCTCAACGCCCAAACTTGTTTCTCTGATAGAAACAGAAATTAACTACTGTGTCGACAAAATTTGAAAATAAAAACAAGATTCTTTCTGAGTAGGCGTTTATATCCATACAGCTGTTCATTATTCAAAGTGTTTTTCGCATTCTAATTCTTTATTAAAGAATTCTTTCATTCATTCATTCATTTGTGTTTGTGTTATTGAATTGAAAGATTTTTTCTTTGAAAAAAAAACTTTGAAAACTTTATCCTATTGTTATTTTTTCTGTTTAAACCAAATCAGGTTTTGAATTCAAACAAAAGAATAAAACAAAAAATGGCTGCACATGATAAAAATTTTGATGTAATACCAATTGGTCACACCTTTTTCTTTATTTGGCGTGTAAAGGTTTGTCATTTTTTTTCCAAAAATAAATGTCGTTGATCATTTAATAATCATAAATCATAAATTCTTTGATCATCAATCATAATTGATAATTGATAATTTGATCATAGCAATTTGAATTGGTACCAGTTCCAAAAGAAGAATATGGTAAATTTTATAAAGGCGATTGTTATATCGTTATTTGTGTAAGTGATTCATTTTTTACAAATGAAAAAAAAATGGATTCTCATTCTTTTAATTTTCCTTTTTTATGTATAGTGTACGGATACACCAACCGGTGGCCATTCAAAAATGGAATCAAAACCAATTTTAAATGGTCATGGTTATTGTCATATTCATTATTGGATTGGTAGTGAATCAACAAAAGATGAAGCTGGTGTTGCTGCTATTAAATCGGTTGAATTGGATGATTTTCTTGGTGGTTATCCGGTACAACATCGTGAAATTGAAGGTTCGTTTTGGTATAATAAAATTGTTTAAACTTTTTTTTAAATAACGATCATTAATAGAATTTGAATCAAGACAATTTTCCTCTTATTTCAAGGATGGTATTATGTAAGTATTTGATATTATCATTCATTTTTTTACTAATATTTATGTATCTTTAATTTAGTTATTTGAAAGGTGGTTACGAAAGTGGCTTCACCAAAATGATTGACGAATTGAAACCAACATTGCTTCATGTTAAGGGTAAAAAACGTCCAATCGTTTATGAATGTCCAGCGATTAGTTGGAAATCTATGAACGATGGTGATGTTTTCATTTTGATTGTACCGAAATTCATATTTGTTTGGACCGGTAAACATTCAAACCGTATGGAACGTACAACAGCTATTCGTGTGGCTAATGATTTGAAATCTCAATTGAATCGTTTCAAATTATCTACAGTCATTTTGGAAGATGGTAAAGAAGTGGAACAAACATCCGGTGCTGAATATGATGCATTCAATAAAGCACTGCCATTGGATAAACAAGATACTGATCTTAAAAAGTTGCCAAAAGGCTATGATTATGCTGCATGCGATATTAAATTTGAAAAACATGAACGTTCATTTGTTACATTGTACAAATGTTTCGAAGGTACCGAAACGATTGATATTTCGTTTGTCAAAAATGGACCGTTAACTCGGAAAGATCTTGATACAAATGTATGTTTCAAATTTGTTTTTTTTCATTGTTACTTATGAATTATCTATTGTCAAATCAATAGGACACATTCATTGTGGAAAATGGTTCTGAAGGTTTATGGGTATGGGTTGGTAAAAAAGCTACCCAAAAAGAACGACAATCGGCCATCAAATATGCAATGGAATTGATTAATAAGAAAAAATATCCGAATAATACACCGGTGACAAAAGTGTTGGAAGGTGATGAAACTGCTGATTTTAAATCATTATTTGAATCATGGCAGATGACTGAACAGGAAAAAATTACCAGTGCACGATTGTTTCGTGTTTCACGAAATGGTATATTCAAATTGGTTGCCAACTATGAACAAGATGATCTGGAAGAGGATAATGTTATGATTTTAGGTATTTATTTCAAAATTTTTTTTAATAACATCAAAAATTAACAATTTAAATATTGATAAATAATGGTAACAAATTTATAATAATTTTTCATAATTTCGTTTTGACAAAAAAAAACAGATGCTATTGATAAGATTTATGTATGGATTGGTAATCAATTTAAAGAACGAATTGCCGACGAAAAACATGTCGATATATTGGCTGAACGATTTATACAGGAGGATAAAAGTGGCCGTAAATTTCAACCGAATCAGATAATTAAAATAAAACAAGGAAGTGAAGATGCAACATTCAAATCATATTTTCCCAAATGGAAATGAATAATGATTTTATCAACAATGATTGTTTAATCGAGATAAAATTTGAATAATAATAATAAAAAAATCAGATTTTTTCATTCATTGATTGAATTATAATGTTGTTTACTAGATGTTTTACTTGAATCCAAGATGCATTATTTTTCGAAATATTGATGGCCCGCTCCAATATCCTCTATGATTATAATTAATCGAAATAAATAGAATATTAGAATCATTGAAATGTAAACATGTCAATCAATCATTTTGATCATAAAAGTAAACTTACTTCAACATAGCATTCCAATAGACAAATGGTAACATATATTTTTTCGTTAAAAACATTGTTCGACGTTCTTTTGATTGATCAAACGGAAATGTTTCCAATGGTTTGAAATCATAATCGAATTCGGCCATAATACATCGTTCATTACCAGTTACGATTGGACAGGATGAATAGCCATTATAGATTGCTTTGAACTTAAGCTTTGATCCACCAATGTTATCACTTTCTTTATATTGTATGTATTGTAATAGATTCTTGGCTAGAATAGAGTTTTGCAATGCAATTGCTGCGGCTGTTTTCGATGTTGGCAATGATGAACAATCACCTAATGCAAATATATCTTCATATTGAACGTGTTGAAGTGTTTGAGGATCAACAGCAACAAATCCATTACTTGTATCATTGGCCAATGATTTAAGAAATTTTGGTGCACTCATTGGTGGTGTTACATGAAGCATATCATATTTTACTTCGGATAATGGATCATCCAGTCGATCTAAATGTTCAAAATAGGCCAATCGTTTTTGCGAATCAACACGAACAAGATTATGACGAGTCATAATATTTAAATCGCGTTTTCGACACAATTCTGTCAAAGCGTCAGAATAAGGTTTTGAGGAAAAAACTGCTGGTAATGATGTGTAATAAGTGATTTTTGTTCGATCTCGAACACCATTTTTGCAAAGATGTGCATCGGTTAGATACATTATTTTCTGCGGTGCTCCAGCACATTTGATTGGTGTATTTGGCATCGTAAATATTGCATTACCACCTTGAAATTGTTTCATTGTTTGCCAGGTTCTCATAACATAACGATCCGAATAATTGGAACAGACACCATTGTTTGGCTGTTCTAATGCCGGTAATAAACCTTCCACTTTATCCCAATCAATATTAATACCAGCAGCTACAACTAAATATCGATAATTAACAGTTCCAGTTGCTCCGGATAATATGACACTTTTAGATTCGGGATCAATTTTCGAACATGCTTCTTTAATCCAATCAACACCTTTTGGCATTACCTGTGCCATTGGCCGACCTGATTCTGAAAGATCTTTTATTCCAGCACCAACCAATGTCCATAATGGTTGATAAAAATGTGTCTATTAAAAAAAAAGAATAAAGTTAAATTATTTGAATAGAAAATTCGATTAGACATTTCATACATCTCGTGGTTCAATAACTGCAATTGAATTTGGTGGTTTTTTTAATGCACGCAAATAACGAACAAAACGAGATGCAATGGATAGACCACCTGCTCCACCACCAACAATGACAAGTTCATAAGATTTTTTCGGCACATCCACCGGCATTGTGGCCATATTACGAGTAACAATTCGACCAACAATCATACCGTTGTGGAACATTTTCAATTGTAATGTACTCAAATTAATCATTGCTCAAAAGAAAATCGAAAGAGTTGAAAATTTTCAAGCGTCATACAAAACTGATCGGTCGATCATAAATAAATTGATCACAGACATTTTTTTTAAATAATCAAGTTGAGTTATTTTTTATAAGTATGGCTGATAGCCAAACCTAATATCTATAGTTATGGCACAATCTACACGTAATATAAGGATATTAAAAACAACAAAAAAAAACATGATCATTGAAAATATCTATGATTGTGTTCGTTTGAAATGGGCGGGCGTAATATAAATGAGCTCATCAAAATATTATACACATGATCATTGTCGAAATAGTATTATCCGTTAAAGAATTTTTCTCGTTTGTTTGATTCTAATTCAAGGTTTTATTTTTTTACCATTTGACGTTAATATTGTTTCTTGATGTAATAAGATTTCGTTGAAATTGATAAAATTACGGTTGAAAGAGTATTATGGACAATTAAAGCACATTGTTTATTCAACTTTAGTTGAATTGGTTTGATTCGTTATAAGAATTTCGATTGCATTTCAATGTGTGTCTGTGGTGTAGTGGCTATCACATCTGCTTCACACGCAGAAGGTCCCAGGTTCGAAACCTGGCAGACACAACCATGAATGAAAATTCGATTTTTTTTTAATTTTTACAGTTAATAAAAACCATTTGATGTGTAAGAATGTACCAAACAAAAAAATCAATCTAAAAAGCATTAAAAGATTTGAGGAAAAAAGCCGGATTTCGTTTATTATAGTATGATAATCATCTCAGATATATTAAAAATTGAAATAATGCAATAATTTAGTAATCATGATCATAATGAATGATTTTTATTTATTATTCATTTTCCTGCAATAAAAAAATGTACAAAGTTCATGTATACTAAGCAATCGGGTATAGGGTATTTTCTTTATGTACATAGTTTTATGGAATCTTTTTTTCCATCATCCTAATGATTATGATGCTAAAATGTTAATAAAGATTTATATTACTATGATCGAATGTTTTTTTACCTTAGGATATCACATGTTTACTGAATGGATGTTTGTTTTTTTTTTTGTTAAAAATAAATTACTCTTTCTTTCTCCCTTCCTTTTGATGGTTTATGATCTTGTTTTTTTTTCGTCTCTACGATTCAAATCATTCTGGGCAATAATTTTTTTTTTTTTTTTTTGAAAAAGCAATTTTGTTTCCTATTTATACAATATGGATGATCATGAAAGAATCATTTTTCTAAGTGTATTTCAAAAAAAACAACAATTTTGTGTCCAATCAAGAATCAAGAAAAAAAAATGAAGACAATTTTGTTATTTGTTATTGCAACCATAATCATTGGTTATCAATCGATTGATTGTTATAATTTTGATTATAGTAATTTTTTACCATTCCCAATGGCAAAAGATGTTGTTGCTAATGCTGATGCTGTAACAACTCCACCGGCTCCTTGTGGTATTAGTCCAATTCCATTGGATTCTGAAATGAATGAAACGATGACAGCTAAATTAGGTCAAGTTGTATGGCATGTAGCTGTTGAATCAAAAGGATTGATTGGTGGTATTTGGAAACTTTCCTGTGGTGGTGTTGTAATAAGTCCAATGGCAGTATTAACCGCAGCTTCCTGTGTTGATGGGTAAGTTTAATCTATTAAAATTTTCAAAGTTTTTTTTTTAATTTTTGAAAATTAAAGTCAATTTTCCGGAATGAATCGAGCTGAAGCTGGTATTATCGATCTACCGAAAGGTGGTTTTTTCAAATATCCCGGTGAATCAAAACCTACACAAGCTTTTATTGAATCAGTAAAAGTTCATCCAAATTTCAATAAAAAAACAATGGAAAATAATCTAGCTGTTTTACGTTTAGCAATGCCATTTGATTTTGCTAAAACTGATGGAAATATTTCGAATATTTGTATGCCAAATGCACCAGTAAATCATGTTGAAGATGATGAAAATTTATACATTTCTGGTTGGGGTGCTGGTATTGTTGGTACAACTTTACGTAAAAAACTTCAAATTCGACCAACACAAATTGTTGATTGTCCAACTGGTCAAACATATAATAAAAATGAATTCTGTGTTACACAAGAAATCGAAACATTTGATATTGAACAATTATCAGAATCAATGCCCGAACAATGTGAAGGTGATATGGGTGGTCCAATATTTACCGGTAATACAGATTCAAAAGGTTCCCGTTTATTAGGTATTGCTTCGCGTGGTACAAATTGTACAGCAGATAATCCAATGATATTTACCGATGTATTTCCTTATTTACAATGGATTCATGATTCATCTAAACCATATTATTAATTAATCAGATTGTTTTTAATTATTTTAAATAATAATAATAATTCTCATTGCATTTTGTTTGTTTTTCTTGAAAAAAATTAATAAATCACACAATAATAATTCAATGGGAAATTAAACAAAAAAATTCATTTACTCTATTCTATATTATAACAAGAAATTTCAACAAAAAAAACAAATCTTTATTTGTGTTATATTAATTATTGTGATGTTTAGTGCAACTATTTTGACAGTAATTTTTAATTTTGTAATTATGAAAACCAAAACAATTTGCAGAGATTATTTGATTAATTAAAAATGGATATATAGTTTATTTGGATTTTAAAATCGATTTGTGTTTGTTGTTGTTGTTGATAAAAGAAAAGATCCATTTCAATGTTTATCAACCACAGAAAATAAATCAATGTCAAATCGATCAAAAAAAACAACAAAAAGGAAAAAGAAGAGAAAAACTTTTAAATTATGGATCACAGATAAGAAGAAAAAGAAAATTTAAAATGTTTGTTTCATTTCAATTCTTGATTATGTTTTGTTTTTGCATTTAGAATTGTTTTTTGTTTGTTTGCAATGTTGATGATTTTATTTTTTGAAATAAATAAATATTTTTCTGTGTGAAAAAAAAGGAAAAGAGAGAAAGAGAGAAAAAAAGAAAAACAAGGCGCAATTTAAGGAAGATTTCGTTCGCATAATTCATTCAAATCATTTTATTTTTTTGTTTCCAAAATGATATGAATGTTTCCATTTATTATTATTCGGTACGTGTATTGGCAGCAACAATAATCACAACACCAATAAGAAAAACAATCCATATAATCCAATAGAATACGAATAATGTCATACGCCATTCTGAACATGAACGTTTATGACGATCCGGTATAATTGTACCAGATTGTGTTAATATTGCAGCTGCAACTACACCATCAATTAATGGTGGTTGATATTTTGCTGATGCTTCATAACCTTTTAATTCACGTAATTGTGCTTCTTGTTTTGCTTGTTCTTCAACCATAGCTAATACCATTGCTTGATCACTATAGTGAACTGGTTGCTGTTGTTGTTCTGATTGTCCCATTGATGATGGTTTTGGTGTTATGGATCCTGCTGTTGAACTTGGTGGCCGTGGACTTGTAGATTGTGTTCGACAATTAGACATCGTTGTTCTTGTAATTTGACCAAAATCTTGACAATATGTTCTATCATCATTATTTTGTTGATCATTTCCAATATTCATACGATGATTATGTTCGATTGGTAAACTTTTTACACTACAATTTGTATTATCGATCGTTGAACCTATTTGTTGTATTGATAATGGTGGCGTATGTGATGGTGGTGTTATAGCTACCGGACATTGATGATGTATTAATACTTTTGTATGATTATTGGACGGAAGTGATGATGAACGATAACCAGGATTTGTAATTGATTCAAAATCACCACCAATTTCATTACCAGTATTTAATGATCGTTGTGTTTGTTGTTGAAGTGAAGATTGTTGATGATATAGATGAGGATTATTCATCATCAAATGATGATGATGATGATGACGATGAGAATTATTACCATTTCCATTGTCATTAACGCCATTTATCGTACCATTACGATGATTGAGCGAATTTGAACTTGCAAAACGTTCCAATTGATGTGGATGTAATCGATGATGTGGTGGTCTATATTGATATTGTTGTCGAAGATGTTGTTGCTGTTGATGATGATGATGTTGATTATAATAATGTTGATGATAAGGATAATGATAGGTAGATGTTGGTGATGAATCATAACAAACATTTGGTAAATTATTCAACGAACCAGTACCACAAACACCACTGTTAACAACAACATTAGCTATATTATCTATAGCTGAATGTACATTTGCATTAGCAATTGTATTATTGGCCAATATTAATGGCGAAGATGGTGGTGGTGGAGGTGTTGAATAATAAAAATATTGTTGTTGTTGATAATGATGAGAATGTCGATTCATTTCAATCATTGATGATGATGATAATGGTGAATCGACAATTGATGATTTAGAAACAGTAGTAGCTGTTGCCGTAGTCATTGTTGTTGTTGTTGTTGTTTTTTCGTTTGTATTTGTTGTTGAATGACGATTATTATTATTATTATTATTATTATTATTTTTGGAACAATTATTTGTACCAACATTGTTGGCATCATGATTATTAATATTGATCATTGTGGCTATTGATTGTTGATTGTTTAATTGTTGTTGCTGAATAAGATGACGATATAGATGATATTGTTCTGCATTCAATATTAATTGATTCGATATGGCTGTTTGTGATTGTTTTGGTTGTGTATAAGTGGTGTAATCATTATTGTTTACATCATTATTGAATTGCCATTCTGTTATTGATGGCGAAGAATATTGTGGTTGTTGTTGTTGTTGTTGATTATTTTCTAATGATGATGAAATCGTTAAGACGTCATTATTTATATTCGACAATAATGATGATGAAGATATTTCATTTATTAATTGATCTGTATTATGATGTTGATGAGGATTGTTAATGGATAAAAAATTTACCATATCATCATTATAATCGTTGTTGAGCATAACATTTGAAGAAATATTTGATGATTGAAATTCATAAGGAAATATTACTAATGGTGATGTTGATGATTCATTCGTTACAATATAATTATTTGGCTGTTGATTACATTCATCACCACCATAATCTTCATCATCAACATCCGGATAAAGCATTGAAGATGTTGATGATATTAATGTAATATTATTATCAATATCATAATCTTGGAATGCTTGTGGTGGTTCAATTACCGTTGATAAAGATGATGAAGATGAATAAGATGATGATGATGATAATAAAGGCAAATGATTGTTATTTAATTGTTGTTGATTTTGATAATATTGATAATTAACAATATCGATTGTCGATACTGGATGATGATCAAGATTTAGATGTCTACAATTTACAAATGAATTAAAATTATATTGATTTTTTTCATTATCATCCGCATCCGCATCATCATCATCATTATCTTCTGTTTCATCATCATCATCATTTTGTTGATGTCCCAAATTTATATGTATCATTTGTGACATTTATCGTTATCAATTTATGAATAATTCTTGATAAAGAATTCATATCAGCAATATTCTTGTTATGAACAACAACATCGACATCTATTGGTAGTAAATCAAAGAAGAAAAAAAAGTTAGAGAAAAAAAATAAAGAATTTATAATTGAAAAAATAAACAAAAAAACAAAAAATGAATGTTTTGCACGCAATATTCTATTATCATGATTATTATTCTTTTTTCTTTCAATATTATCGAACCCCATTAGTTTTGGAATATTTAATTTGAAACAATCACAATATATAAACAGTTGATTGTTCTTTTGATTCAGTTTTAATCAGATTTATTTTTCCCTGATTGAAAATTGTTCAAGAAGAGAGAAAGTGAAAGGGAAAAAAGAAAAGGTGGTAAGAAAGATAACCAAACAAATGTAAATTAATGAATTTCAATGTATCTGGAGTCTAGACATTGAAAAACAGCATTAAATTCAAACAAAGAGAAAGCAAGAGTAACAAATGAAAATTTTTATTCCAAATACATGGAGCTTCGATGATAAATTGATCGAAAAAAATCAGAATGAAAAAAAAAATAATTTTAAATTTCATCTCACGTCTTTTGGTAATTTGATAATATTATTATGTTATGAATATTTATTCATTATAATCAGAAATTAACTTTGTGAAAATAATTAAGTGTAGGTACAGCTCGGCAAAATTTAAAGATTAATAAAGTTTTTTGTTTGTTTGTTATCAGACGATATTATATATGTGTGGCTGATTAGTGTTTTTTGTTTTTGATTCAAATGAATGAATGAATGGAAAAAAGTTTCAGGATCGATGAATTTTTGTTTAACCGACCAAAAAAAGGAAAAAACTTTCATGTCGAAAATCGAATGATTTAACCAAACATTACATTGTATACATCTTTATTATTTATCATTTATAAATTGATTGGCAAAAAAAACATATCAGCATCATTTATGAACATGTTTTCGGTTCACACATATCTACCTCAGATCGAATACACATCAATATCTACGTAAATACTGGCAATACTCGGATATAAATCGATACGTATTATGCCTGCAACAATAATAAATGCATGAGAAAAACAATGAATGTTGGTGTGTGTGTTGATCGATCAGAAGAAGAAAAAATGAAAAGAAATCGATTTGTCATCGATCAAAATCCGCATCAAATTTTATATACACTACCGGTATTTAAGATGTGCATGTGTGTGGGTGGATGTAAATTTGATGATAAGATAAATCCATCTAGCACGAGGTAGAATTGAATAAATTCTCATGATATTCTGTTGAAAGATAAAATGTGATGAATGAATGAATGAATAAAAATAAAAATTATTAGTATTGTCGTATTAGTTGAAAATATTTTTTGTTTCGTTTGTTTGCCTATTTGTTTATGTGTGGGTGTAGATTTGCTATGAATATGAATCAAATGAAATTGATGAAATGATTCTATTTCCTTATAAAATTCATTTTTTTCAAAATGAAATAACAACGAAAACAATAAGAATATGAAATAAACAAATCGTTTTTTTTTTGGTTCACCCAAAACACCTTCAAGCAAAATCTTTCCAAAATCTACAGAATTGAATTTATTCAAATTTGAATAAAATTGAATTTTGCGGAAAAACAAATCTCGTTTTTCTTTCTTGCAAAACAAATTATGTATGAGTGAAGGAGTGTATGAATGAAGAAGAATTCTATTATTCATGTGAATGTCAAGTTCTCTTAATAAGTGATAATTTTTCCCATAAGATTATAGTCATAAGATTTATTTTATGAAATAATATTGTTGAAATTTTTTTTTTGTTTCAAATTCTTACTCCCATTTTATTGTTTTTTTTTTTGTTTGTTAAGCAAATTATCACTTTTAGAATATTCTTAAACAAAGTGATAATAATCATTATAATAGATAATTTTGATTCTAATAACAAATGATGATTATAACTGTTTCATTCATTCAAAGATTCGGGTGTTACCATAATCAAACCATTAATAATTGATAATTCTTTAGCAAAAAAAAAATGTATAATTTTTTTTTTGGTTGTTATTCATTTTATCATTTGAACGATTAATTATTTAGTTGCACTCATTCCGGATGATAGGATTAGAATTCGAACATTTTTTATATTCAAATATCGAGCAACTTTGTTCTGAGAATAACATATCATTCATAACAAACGTTATACTACAGTTGATTATATAATGATAAATCGAATGGAATGTAAAAAAATTATTCTGAAAATGATATCTTTGAATCATTACCAAAAAAAATGAGTATAGTTTATCTTTTATTTTTCGAAATGTAATGGTTTTTATTCATTCAGCTACCTGAATTCATTCATCAAGAATTCTGTATTCTTCATTTAGTTGTTTGGTGGTTTTCAATTTCCTGTTCTAAACAATAAACCGATAAAACAGGTTTGCATATGATTTTTATTCGGTTGTTTAGTTTTGTTGCGTGGTTAGTAAACAGAATATTTTTCCCATATTTCTAACGGATATTTTTATTTCTATAGTTGCTTATTTTTTCCGGTTATCTCTGTCTGTCGTTGTGTGTTTACGACCTCGTATTCGAAATGGAAAGTAATCATTTTTTTTTTTTGGTCAACAAAAAAAACCTAATAACCACTAAATAATAATAACTATTATAATGAGCTTGGAATGACGAATCTTTTACTCTTCACAATCAGATAAAACTCAAAATAATAATAACTACCAACTAAATAGAGGAAATACAATGAGTTCTGTATATTGTTTATGATTTTTTTTTTGTTCTCCTATTCGAAACTAATTTGCTTTTTTTTGTCCTCGATTAGTTTATCATCACCATCATCATTGTAACATTAATGATTGGATCTACAAATACTTTTTTTCATTTGTTGTTATCCCGATTCGATTAACGAGTACGAGTAGGAAAAAAGAATTAAAAAATCCAATTCAAGATTTGATCTTCATTGCTTTTCATTGGCATTCTGTTATCGAATTTCAAGAATAAAGAGAAGAACAAAAAAAAACGACAGATTTTTTGAATCGATAACATTTCAAATTGTAAATGTAAAGATTTTCGTTTTCGTTTTGTTGTTGTTTCAAGAACATTTTCAAGAAATGAAAAAACCGTGTAAAGAAAAAGGAGATTTTCTTTTTACGTATATAATTTCTTAATGGAAACAACAACAAAAAAAACAAAAAACCGAAAAAAGTATTCATGAAATTGGTCGTGTTTGTGTGTGAAAAAAAAACGTATATGATTTGTTTACTAATTTATTTTTCTAGTTTATTTTTCCAATGTTGTTGTTGTAAATGGTTTGTATTCTTGGTATCGATGGAAACCCTAGAAAAAAAATTGCTAGAATCATTTCAATTGTGATCCATGTTGGAACAGAAAAAAACCAAGGCCAATAATTTGTTTGTACCAGAGAAAAAAATACAGCCAATTGTCTATGTAAACGGGAATTAACAACAACAACAAAAAGAGTGAAAGTGAAAGAGACGAAAAAAATCGATGATTCAAAAAAAAAAACTCTTGGCAATAGAAAAGGTTGTGTGAATTAGAAAAATGTTTCGAAACGTAAAAAAAAAGAGAGAAACACAACAGAGAAATGGTTATGTATATTTAGCGGAATTTTATCTACATTCGAGATTGTATGTAAGGATCGGGGAGTAAGAGGTACTCTCTGGGATGTAGATGAAGGACTCCCTGGTTTGGAAGAAGAACCAGGTGAATATTGATTTTTTATTTGTTTATTTATCTTTTGTAATAAATGCTAAATTTCCAGATTACATTGACCCAGACCTTTTGTAAATAAGAGATATGAAATAAAATAAAAGTTTTTCTTTATTNGAGAGAAACACAACAGAGAAATGGTTATGTATATTTAGCGGAATTTTATCTACATTCGAGATTGTATGTAAGGATCGGGGAGTAAGAGGTACTCTCTGGGATGTAGATGAAGGACTCCCTGGTTTGGAAGAAGAACCAGGTGAATATTGATTTTTTATTTGTTTATTTATCTTTTGTAATAAATGCTAAATTTCCAGATTACATTGACCCAGACCTTTTGTAAATAAGAGATATGAAATAAAATAAAAGTTTTTCTTTATTTAGCGGAATTTTTGTTTTTCCATTCTCATATTTCTCACATATACTTTTATGGATCGAAAACATTATTATGTGTATATATGGTGTGATTAACTATCTTCATTGGATTTTTTCTTTGGGGGCTGGTGATGAATGAGAACAATGTAGTATGTGTGTGTATTTTTACATGTTTCTTTTTCTTTCCTTTTTTGATCAGCTAGTTTTGCTTTGGGTTTTTTTCATCTCATTTTTTCTTTTGCATGAATCGTTTTCGGATTTTTTTGGTTCCTTGTTACCAACCCGATTTATATATTAACACACACACACATTATATGATCATTGTTGAAGATGGTCGAAACATGAAATAAAACTTAATGTATGAATGATTGAAACAATGTATTGATCAATGAAAATAGAAACAAATACAGCGAAAAAAATGATGATAATAAAAAATTTAAGCTTTAAATAAAGTTAAATGTAAATTTCATCATATTATGTTGTTATATATCATTTTAGCCGGAAAGAATAAGAAAAAGAAATTTCTTCATTATTCATCATATAACAAATGTTTAGCATAATGTAAAACTAATGTAAATTTTTTGTTTTGTTGTTATGTAAAATTCATAACCACTATAATGTAATGATCATTGTCAATTTGAATCATATAATATTTATGATGATGACCAATATCACAAAAAACAACAACAACCAAAATCCTCAGATTTTTTTTTCTTGGAAAAGCATCATCATTTTCCATTATTCAAATGGAGATAAACAAATAAAACTTTTTAAGAAACAAAAAAAAAACAGATCTAATGGAGGCCAGGAACAAAATCAAATTTTTTTGTTTGAAGACAATTTCTATAACTAACTTGCCATATATCCAGACCAGAATTTTATAAAAGCTTGTTTAATTGTTTCCAATTCTATTAAGTCTATTAAGATCATGTTTTTTTTCGACTCTATTTATATCAAATTTTTCATAAATGTCATCAACAG